AGGGTTCACAGACGTGTGCAGAGACCTCATCCCTCCGCTGTTTGGTGGAAAATATATGGGCTCGAGCGGGGGACATCCAGAGCGGGGATGAGAGCCAAAGGCCCAGGCATTACTCACGCCGGCCTGGGGACAGGTGCATGGCCGCGTGAAATCGTGTGTTTTGATGTCAGTCGTCACAGTAAATCAAATTAAGAACACCCAGCAGCCCTCGGCTCTCTCAGTCCACCCAGGCGCCAGGCACAGATGAAAGACAGAACCGGGGTTCCAGGCAGATTCCTTTTCCCTGAGCCCACAGGTCGTGCCGGGCTGGAGCCTTGGATTTCCTCACCCTCTCCAGGCTTCCGAATCTGTCCTACAGACAAGTGCTGGACACGCTTCCAGGTGACATCAGTGTCCCAGGACTTTATGTGGCCGCAGGCTGGAGTCACTGCAGCCCTCTGCATGCCTTCCAGCCTAGGGAATCACCCTACAATGTGGCTGAGAATCACCTAAGAAATGAAAGGCAGTACTGTGCCAGGAATGAGTGGCCCCTTGCTCTGCCACATTACTGCTAAGGTCGCTGTCACAGGAAGTAGTATGACCTTGAAGCCCCCTCCTTGACCACAGGGAGCAGGGCCAGGGCCAAAGATGCCCTGTTCTTTGGCTCCTAGGCCTTGAGGTTCGCTTGAGATATTTCTGTGTCACCAGTGTTGTTCAGGACAGAACCACCACACCTTGGTGCCTCATAAATATGACAGTCATTCGCCACTTGTGGGACGAGGGCAGAAGAGCTTCAGGATTTACCTTAAGACCCTAGAGCTGCCTGCTCTGTGACTCCCTCTTGCTGCTGCTTGCAAGAGTCCCTGTTCTCAAGAGCAGCTCTTACCAAGAGTTTAAAACCTAAAGGAACACTTAGCAGAGGTCCCTCCCCCCCCCCATTTTCCTGGGCTTTCTGGACTCATGGGGTGGAAAAGGGGGTGATGTGCTCCTTTAAATGAAGCAGGGGTGCAGAGGAAGTCTGACTGGTTGTGAGCCACAGTCAGTGGACAGAAACAAGCCGCTGAGGATGTCTCCCAAGAGGAAAACCTCTCCTTCCCTCTCTAAGTGGCTTGTGCTTGCCTGGGGATTAATTTTCCTCTACAAATAAGCACTTGCAAAAGCTGAAAATAAAGCTGTGTATGTTTTCTCAAAAGAAGCATAATCAACACCAAGATAGTTCATCGCATAATCTATAACATTGTTTCTTTTAATAAAAATTTTAGAAAGAAAGGTTGGATAGGAAGGTTCCTGCGGCATTGGAGAGTAAGCACAATCCACGGTGGTACCTTTGTGCCAGGAAGGAGGCTTTGGGGTCCAATGAGAACTGTTCATCATCTCCCACTAATAAGCAGAACCATCAGAGGATAAATCAGATTTTGTGACGGGCATTAGGAGACTGCATCGCTTGCGTGCTGCGTTCTCCTCTCCTCCAGAACCAGGGTGCCCCCTTGGTTTCCCAAGGAGGCCGAATAATTAGGTCCATGTGCAGTCGATCACCTTTATTGAGTGTAAGAGAATTTATAGGCAGCAAAGTGACACCTCAGGAGGCTTCCGTGCAGTGGCACAAGCTGCTTCCTTCAGAAGGCAGAAGAATTTATGGGCCCGCTGACATTAATGGAGGTGGCGGGATGACTTGGGGGGACCGGCCGGAAACCCCTCCACCCATATATTTTTCATACTTGGTGAAACATAGATAAATCTCTGTCCTGTGAGTATGAAATGGTGGGAGCCGTGGAAGCTCAGTGTCAGGCCTCAGGGGGGGAATTTATCACCGACTTCGTTCTGTTCTAAATCACGGCCAACTCAAGAGCTGGCCATTTTCACAGTCGTGCAAGAATTTTTGACAATACGCATAAATTTTGAATAGGCCATAACTTTACCAATGGCTCCCTACCTCCCAACTGGTCACTGAAACAGACGGCACGGGTGTCTCTCCTCATCAGCTCCCTTGGAGAAAAGGGCAGAGCAGCTCGATGCATTGAATGTGTTTTTACTAGGAAAATAACGGAAGTTGCTGAATTCTAAGAATTAACACTTGCCACCCTAACCCAGCATTTGTCACATATAAATCACAGATTTTCTCACACTAGAAGGAAAAGTAAAATTAACAGGCATGGGCTTATTGTTTAATAACCTAATGAAGAAACCTAGCTCCACTGCACTGATGTGTACAAAGAAAACCACACAGATTCCCACGAGCAAGCCCACGGCAGCTGCCTGGGTATCTTCGGTTCCAGGAAAACAAGTTTTCATTACACATCTATTCTCCCAACTGCTCCTCTAATCTGGCCACAGGCCTTTGTCATGGGCACCTCCACGGAGAGCAGGTGACCTATGCCCACGCATCGAGCCAGCCCCCAGGGAAAAGGCGGGGTACTGACCTCCTCTCGGAGTCCCCTCTCGGACCTTCATGGCATCAACCTTGTCCCGCAGCCCAGTCCTTGAGGCCCTTGGCACCTCAGTAAGCAGCAGTGGGGACAGGTGCAGAGAAAGGGGAAGCTCTTCAGACCCAGTGCTGCACCTGGGGCTCCTCTTTTCTTCTCCTTTTCAGCTCAGAGGCCCCCAAACCAGACCTCTGATCACTCTGCCCTCACTCCGCAGCTAGACTCCCTCGGTCACAGGCCTCTAACTCGATCTGCGTTTCATGGACTCTCCAGTGTGAATCCCATTCCAGATGTGTAAATCCGGCTGCCATTCACTGTCCCCACTCAACTGGATGGCAGATGGCTCTGCACATCCAACGCTGAGCCTTGATCTCACCCCCACCGGCTCGCTGCAGCATTCCCCAATCCAGCTCTCCGGTGAAACCCTTGGCGTCATCCTGACTGCTAGCCTTGCGGCCCAGCAGGCATCAGCTCAACCATCACGGCACCGCAGCTTGCCCCCAGCCCAGTTGGACCAGCCCTGGTGCTGACAGCCTGAAAAGTGACCCCTGGCCCCTCTCCCTGCTCCCTGCAATCAGCAGTCAGCACAAAAGCAGTGTCGTCCACCCTGGTGAAGTCACAGCATGACCGTGCACCTGGCCGCTTTCCGTGACATGCTGTGTCTGGGTGTTCCCTGAGGTCACCCTGGGTACTTAGCCTGTGGGCTACCCTTCCATGGCAGCTTGTGTCAGGGAAGCCAACAAAGGGCAGGTCCTGGAAGGTAGGCAGACGTACAGCCCTAGGTGTACTCCTGGGAGAGGGTCCTGCTGTCACCCTGGCTGTGCTCCATGGTCACAGGCTGCATCCATACTCAAAGGGAAGAAGATAAATACACAGCGCTGTGACCCCAAGAGGCGGGGCCTTGGGGTCGCCTTGGGCTGTGCTGTCACATCCCAGAGTGAGTCAGGACAGGGCGAGGCTGGGCTCACTCAGGGCAGCAGAAGCCCCTGGAGGCTCAGGGGGACTAGGCCGCCACCCCCAGCTCCAGGGAACCTCCTGCAGTGGAGAGGGGCTTTGCTTCCCACCTCAGGACAGCCCCCTAGTGTCCGCACTGCGGAGCCCGTAGGGAGTGGGGAGCCAGTCCTGAGCTTGTGTCCTCGGTCCTCACCCACCTGGGGACATGAAAATCATGTCAGGAAACGTTTTAGTCATTCACTGCTTGCTTCTGTGAGCTTTTTTTTTCTGACTTAGCTGTTTTTTTTAGAAAGTGCTTTTTACCCTTCCAAGCAGCTCCAGATTAAATCACAGATGTTCACCCTCCTTAGCAGCGAGTTGGGCCAGGAGTGAATATTAGATGCCCCTGTAAAAGCCCAGCAATCACTAGAGTTTGTACAGGAAAGGTGTTTTGCAAAATGGAACATCCGCTTCCTGTTTTAAAGTTTAAAAAGAAGAAGATAATACACAGTAATAAAATATAATTTTACCATAGTGAAATATAAGCTAACTTAAAGAGAGATTTTTATATCTTCTGTTAAACTCTCTACCCTTACAGCAAATAGTGTCTGGCACCTACTGAGGTACACACTCAGTGAATATGTTATGAATGAATAAATGAACTCATGAATGAATGAAACATCAAGAATTCTTTAAAATGAGAGTACAATGCCCTTGATGAAGAAACACCTCCCAAGAAAGGAAAGAATGACATGGGTGATCTTTGCCCTTCATAATAAGTACCAAAATATAAATTAGTGTTAAAATAATGATATGAAAAGAAAATATCAGGAGTAAAGAGTTTTTAAAAAGCAGGAGAGTATTTTTAAATCAGTAGTAGACTAACTATGAAAGGGAAATATAAGACCTATATGAAAAATTAAGTCCATGAATGTTAAAAGGAAAAAACAAAAAAAAATCACTTGAATGAATGCTGAGATAAATGGCAAGATAATGAATGTGCCGTAGATAATTTATAGAGATGATACAATTTCAATTAAAATCCCAATAGGATTATTTATTGAACTAGAAAATATAATTATTAAACTCATTAGAATTAACTTAAGAAAATAAGAACAGTAAGGGAGGACAAATGGCACTGTATTTTTAAGCACATACAGAAAAAAATGTAAATGCATTACACTAATGTGAAAGCATGACTGTAGATCAATGAAACAAAATAGATAGCTGATCACAATAGACTGAGCTAAGCCAAGTGTGGCAAATGAAATCAAAAAGGAAGTAATGAGAATTTTTAAAATACAGTTGCAGTAACTAGAGTGCTGTAATTATTAAAGCCAACAAGTAGCAGAATAGGGAATTGAATTCCCCAAAAGAGAGGTCACAGTTTTGTAACTAAAGAAACAAAAAATATTTTAAAAGAAAATTGGACTGAATCCAGTGTAAAAATTACAGGGTCTATTCCATAATCAGTCTCAAAGTCTCTTAAGACATAAAAGGAAGACAACCAATTATGAGACGTATTGTTTTACCTTACTTAATTACTAATGTGAGCTCTTCTGCTGTCCCAAGGGAAACAATACTGAATGAAATAGGGAACAAGAAGCGAGGAGGCTCCCTGCGGGCCTGAGCCTCCGCCTTCACCCATGGTCAGTTCTCGCTCACCTCCAAGCGCCTCCAGACAGACACACGCGTGTGAGCACCCTTGTCCCCTCTTTCTCCAGCCAGAGCAGGGTGACAACTGCATGGTCCAGCGGCCTGGTCTCCCTTAAAGCTTGTGTCATTATTTCAGGAACGCGTCCTCCCTGGCACTCCCATCATCCACAGGAAGTTGCTTGGAGGGGACGTAGCTAAGTATAACCCAGCTTAATGCTTCCCACTGACAGTAATGAGAGCACGGCTCCTGGAGCATGTTTCCCGCAAGGAGCATCTGGTTTTCAAGAACAGATTGCTGCTAGCAGGGATGCCTGTGGGGTACGAACCAGAGAGGCTGAAATTAATTGTGTGGCGCTGTGCAGCAGGTCTAGACAGGACGGGACAGGCCGGGTCTGCACTGCTGTCTCCCTTGGGGCCCAGAGGCCCCTCTCTGTCCCCAGCCATCCTGGATTCTGCCCCCAGACTGTGGACCTGGGGTGGAAATGTTCTCAGGTACATAAAAGCAACAGTATAGCCTGAGCTACCTGAATGGTGGGAAAAATGCTACTCACACAAAGGGAAACCTGCTTTGGGGCTGAGGTGGGGGTGGGGGTGCTGGCCCTGGTCCCCACGATGCCTGGCGGGGCTGTTACTTGAGGCAGAAGTGGGAGACAGGCTCAGATGCAGGAGTGAGGGGACAAAAAAGCAGGGGCAGGCTGGGATCAAGCCAGGACCCGCGATGGCTGGGATTCTGTGGCACCCCCAAGCCTCGCAGGAAGTGGGTGGTGGGGTATGGGCCCAGCTCAGGCGACAAGGATCAGATACCATGACCCCAAATGCTGCAGTCTGGGGGGATGCATTCTTTCTGAGTCCAATCCTGGGACTGAGGAAGCCGCACAGGAACTGTCAGCCCCCAGGAGGAGCCAGTCCACCCAGGTACCGGAACCAGCTCACAGCCAGGGACGGGGACTCCTGGTGGCTCCTGGCCTCCTCCTTTCCTTCCTTCCCTCTTTCATTGTTTTCTTTCTTTCTTATTCTTTTTTTTTTTTTCTTTTTAATATTCTAAGCGTGATCTGGACTTGATGTTACGTTTGCTTTGGAAAAGCATTCATCTCTAAGGCTTGATTGACAAAACACATTTCCTCCACACTTTTTAAGAAGTGTTAATGAATAATTTAAAGCCTGTCTTTTAGGAATTAGTACTTGGTTTCATGCAGATTAAGTATTGTTCCAAGCAGCCCAATTCTTACTATGAAAAAATGTTATCACAGTGACATGTGCCAGCTTTAGCTTGTAGGTGACAAAGTGATGAAGCACGGTTTATAAATAGCTGATCAGCTGACAGTCTTACGAGGGTGGCATGCGTTTCTCAAACTCTGCATCTCTGGCTTCTCTCCTGCTCCGTTCTGTAGACTCAGGCAGACTCAGAACCCTGTGCCGGGAGGGAGTGTGGCTGATTTTTCACGCAGCCATGTGACGAGTTCTATTTTCTGCATGACTTCTTCACTTGGTGGTCCGAATGCCCAGCTAGAGAACCTACTTTGCCCTTGCTCACTGCAGCAAATGGAAGTGGGGCGGGAGGTGCAGAGGGTGGGAAATCTGGGGTGACATTCTAGCGCACGCCGTAAATCAGCAACATGAGGCAAGTTTGAAGATAATCAGGCGGCTTTAGAATTATAATTGAGGGAACTGTGTCATTTAAATAAATTATCATGCACACAGGCAGCGTATTTAACACCTAATAATTGTGCAGGGTATTTTGTGTGAAAATTTAAGGAGAAAAGATCTCTGTGTCTATTAAAGTGCTTTCCAGACTGAGAAGAGAAACTGAGGCAATGTCCCCCAAACAGCCTAACATCCCTCCTTGTCCACCCCAGAGGTACATAGCTCAGCAAGCTCTTCGGTGGTAAGATAAGAAAAGCCGTCCTATTTGGTTAAAAAATGTTGTGGTCACTGGGCATGGAGGTTCATACCTGTAATCCCAGCACTTGGGAAGATGAGGCAGGAGGATCACTGTGAATTCGAGGACAGCCTGGGCTACATAAGAGAGTTCAAGGCCAGCCTATGCTACATAGTGAGACCTTGTCTCAAAAAAAAAAAAAATGTGTTGTGTAGGTTAGCGAAGACCTCTCAGATACTTATGGCAACCAAGCAAACCTTAAAGAAAGTTCAGGAGCCAGCTACCCTGTGGTTTGTTAGTCACCGTCAGACTCTGCAGAGGGACTGGAGGGGGAATGGGGAGCAGGGGGAGGTCAGAGCCGCTGGATCTGGACATGCAGGGTGATGGGTGGCAACAGGGCCAGGGAAGTGATGAAACCACAGGACACAATCAAGAAGACAAGGGTGTGCTGTCATTAACATGAGGAAGCTGGTCTTGTCCTGAGAAGCCCGGGATATGGATGGGCCTGCTCCCATGGGCGAAATAGCAGCACGAGGTGACTGGCACATGTGAGAAGGACCAGGAGCGCAGTCCCCAGGGAGCATCGGAGAGACAGGCTCACCCGGGTACACGTGGTCACGTCCCAAGCCTGTGCAGGCAATGCCAAGTGGTCACACATGATGTGACCTAGAGAGATGGGCCCAACAGAGTTTGCAGATGGACTGAACATAGATGTGAGAGAGAGGGCCAACGTGACTCCAGGTTCTGGTGTCTGGAGTGGCTGGGACCAAGAGTTCCATTTCCTGACGTGGGAAAAGTGCAAGAACAGAAGGAGCAGGAGCTGGGTGAGGAAAGAACAGTTCAGTCTGGAACACCTGAGTCTGAGACATTGTGTTTCCCCCTGTGCTGCTAGGAATTGAACACAGGGCCTTTGCACAGAGCTGTGTCTCCTCCCTTTTAAATTTTTACCTCAAGACAAGGTCTCACTAAGTCACTGAATTGCCCAGGCTGGACTTTAACTTGTGCTCCTGCCTCAGCCTCCCAAAGTGCTGGGATTACAGATGTGCTCCACCACACCAGCTGCAGAGCTGTTACGTTGCTTCCAGGTGTCAGGTGGGCAGTTGAGTTTGAGCCTACAGCTCAGCGCCACAGTGAGGGGAAAAGAGAGCTCAGAAGAGCGGAAGTGCATTGGTGGCATGGAAGAGACCGCCCAGATGTGAGTGTGGGCGAGGGGAAGAGGAAGAGGCCCGAGACCTGGCCCTGAATTCCCGTGTTATTGGGGTGGGAGGGATTGAGACTGAGCTGGAAGGGTAGTGTGGGCAGAGGTGGCCTTCGAGGGAGACCAGCGGCTGCCGTGTCACCAGTGAGGTACTGGAGACCTCAGATGCCACCCGCAGGTCCCATGGTGTGCACTCCAGGACAAAGGCAGAGCAGCAGCTGCTTGAAGAGGACAGAGAAGGCAGGGACAGAGAAGTGGGTGCAGCCAGGGTGCTGAGCCGGGAACACCTTCGAGGACGGCCTTCCTCCCAAGGATGCACAGCCCACAGGTTCATACCCCCAGGACTGGGGACACCGGCTTCTCACTGAACTGTGTGCTGGTGCTGAATACCATGCACTTACAAAATGTAACTTCAGGGTAACTGAGCCCTGGAGCCCAGGATGACCAAAAACAGCAGGAACCAGATTCTTCCTGGAGGCTGGGGACCCAGGTGGCAGCAGGCTGGGTCCTTCTTCAGGCCTCTCTTGTTGGCTGCTGGCGGCTATCTCCCTTCTGTGCCTGCTCATCCTGCATCCCAATTCCTGCTCCTTACGTGGATGCCAGGGTGCCCGGTCAAGCCCACACTATGCTGTGTGCCCTCTCTCAGCTGAGCACCTCCACAGTGATCCACTTTCCAAACAAGTCCTCAGCTCCTCCCACAGTGCTAGGATTAGGACTTTGACCTGTGAGCTTGGGGCCAAGGGAACAGTTCTGGGAGGGCTGTCCCCATGGGGTGGTGACTGCTGACAACTTGGAGACCATGTAAGGAGGTAGAAGCTAAGGCAGAATGGACTCCCAAAGAGTGAGGCTTGTGAAGACTAAGCCAGGCCTTAGGGATGTGCAGTCTCAGGAAGGTGGCAATCCATTCCTCGAGACATGATCAAGCAGAGGCAGCCGAGCTCTGAGTGATAACCTTGGGTCACCGGGGTCCAGAACTGGTCCAATGGCAACTTTGCCATTACTGCTATTTGGATAACCCTAAGCCATGCAGGGCGCCCAACCCTGAGCACAGCAGAGCTTGTCCAGGCCTTTGGCCTGCTTGTTCTGGACCGCACAGACCTGGTGAACCTGGACGGTGGAGAAGACCAAGGCCGGGAGTGAGCAGCCACTGGGGGCAGGGTGGCTCAGAGGGAGCAGGGTCCACCAACATGACAGGCACTTTGGTTTCCGCTTTTAATCAAAAGCGCTGTTTTCCTGACACCCTGTCATTTGGGGTGCTGGGCTCCTCCAGGGAAAGTCGCAGGTGGGTGTCAACCACAGCCAAGGCTGTGGGGCTTCAGCGCTTTGTGCCGGAAGCTGGAATAATGTTTTAGATGCCCTCATCCGGGTCCTCATTTAACAGCATCTCCCCTGGGCTCTGACGTGTCTTGTGCTGCAGGGCTGGAGTCCCTAGCCCAATCCCTCTGTGCCAGGCCCCCACTGTGCAGTGAGGGACACAACAGCTGTGCTCCAGCCACAGAGGGACAGTGGGAACACAGGCCAGACTGCCAAATGTGCATCCGCTTAGGCCATCTCAGTCACAGGGAGCAGGGAAGGGCACCAGAGGGACAGAGGTCCCTGGGAACCACAGATCAGGATAGAGGTGAGTGCAGGAAAGGGGCAGTGCACACTCGTGTTCCCACAACCATGCATGTGTGTCATTAACAGCTGCCAGGAAGCGCTGTCATTTTCCAGATACAAATGGTTCAATGTGCTTTCTACAACCATTTTGTGTTTCTTTAAAAGGAATTCAGTTCCTCTTAAACAAACCAACAGTGAAGAATAGCCAAACATGTTCATTTATCTCCTTAAAAACACATTTCTTAGCACATTGCCAAAATGAAATAGCATTCACCACTAGGTTCACAATTAACAAGATCCGTAATTAAGAAGGAGTCACCTGCCAAGTTAGTTCTAAATGGAATCTGCAAATGTTGGGTTTAACAAGGAAATGCATGTCACTAAGTTTGTTTTGAGTCTGCAAACCACTCAAGCTTGAAAATACGAAAAAGAAAAAGAATGGATGCACGGGGCTGTGGTGAAGAGCATTGGGGAGGCGCGTGAGAGGCGTGAGGAGGAGAGGACGTTGCGGGGAGCGCGGTGTGTCAGGGTTTTCACCCAAAGCCTGGCTCAGCCTTGATGCACAAGACAGAACGCCATCAGGCAGCACCAGGGATTGAGATGGGACCAGGGCCTCTCTTCCGACCCTGGGAGGATCAGCGGTGTCACCCACCGTGACTTCTCCTGGGGAGAAGGACACCAGCCCCAGGAAGGGTGAGGTCCCTGCGATGGTCTCAGACTCCACATCATGGGCCAAGCCAGAGTCCGGTCCATGCCACTCGTCACGATGATCTAAAAGGCTGTTTGCGTCTCCTTCCTCTTCTGCTCGTGCATCTATGGGAGGCTGGCTTTTCCCCACACTTTGATCAAAACTACAGATGGAGACAGACTGGAACCCAGAAGCAGAAATGAGTGACCTGCCTGGCACTGACAGACCACGGAACAAATGAAAAATTGTGACATCCTATATGGGTTTTTTTCCTATGGAAAATGTCTTACTTATAGAAATGTTACATATGCCACCAAAGAGTGGGTTAATTTAAATAAATTAAGTAGTTTCAGAATTTCTAGCCAGGTATAGTGACATATGCTTTCTGGGAGACTGAGTCAGAAGGATGGCACATTTCAGGGTGACCTGGATTACCTGGCAAATTCAAGGCCCGGCTGGGACATAAGAAGACCCTGCTTCAAACGGAGAGAGAGACAGAGAGAGAGAGAAGATTTTAAGATTTAATATCTAATAAATATCAAAATCCCAATATCTGTAAGTCACATAAACGAAAGCTCTTTGGGATCCTCAAAATATATTGAGTGTAGCCGGGTGTAGTGGTGCACACCTGTAATCCCAGCACTCAGAAGGCTGAGGCAGGAGGATTGTTGTAAGTTCAAGACCAGCCTAAGCTACAGAGTGAATTCAAGGCCAGCCTGAACTTCATAGTAAGACCTTGTCTCAAAAATATGTATATATACATATATATATGTATATATAAAATTTATTTATGTATTACTTTTTTTTAATATATATTGAGTGTAAAAGGCTCCTTAAGGCCAAAGTTTAAGACCCACTGCTGTAGAACTGGCCTAAGCATGGAGGTCTCTTTCTAACCACAGGCTCTATGCATTGACGGATTAACAGGACATGTCAGCTAATCTTTTCTCTCCTGTTTGTGCAGCAAATATAACACTCGTCTGAAGTCAATTTGGCTTAGATACATTAACCACATATCCCGTCTGTGATTCTCAACATTAAATCTCAGTGTCTGCTTTTTAAATACAGAAATTATGTGATTATAGAGGAAAAAAAATATTTGGAGCCTGTCAAATCTGCAGGGCCTCAAACTTCCTAAAACCTGAAGCCTGTGCGTGTATTTGAGACACTTTCTAGATAAATCCGTCATTTGCACACCTCCATTCTTCTGTTCCATTTCAAAACCCTGTGTTTGTCCTAAATATTAAACAGAAAGAAATGATTTGTGCCGCTGTCTTCATTCTGAAGCACAGAGCATCTCAGTATTTTGAAAGAGAAGCAAAATGCGGTCTGTCTCAGGTCCCAGACCCACAAGTCCCCAGAGGAGAGAGCCTGCCGTCAGGTGTCCCAGCTCCTCAGGCCCCCCTGACCCCAGAAAGCCTACCCTTAATCACCATTGCCCAGCTAACGGGGAGTTAATGTCTATTTTAATTTGCCTTCTTCTCTCGGCAGACATTTGACTGGCACATTTCCTAACTACCCTGATGCAGAGGACGGAGGTTCGGCTGTTATTTTTTCCAACAAGACCCCAGAACAGGTACAGATACACTTGAAAAACAGCAAGGAAATCTATCATAATCCCATTTCCTTCCACTGCAGAGTTGGTGGGTTCAACGTGCTACTGGGGCTCAGTTATTTCCTGCAGGTTTCTGTGTGGATGTGCCGTGAGGCATACATCAGTGGACATCCATTTTCTTTCGCATTGATTTCAAGATGAGTTCCTCCTTTTCCTGTCTGGTCTCTGAAGGAGGTTGCGCAGGCCTGGAGCTCGTTTTCAGGAGTCCACAGTGTTTGAGTCCCTGCTTACCTGACAGTCTCCTGTCCCTCCCTCCTCATCACCCAGCTATGAACTCCCGGGGTCCACTTGCTGGTCACCCTCACATTTCCGGTGCTGTCTGTGATTTTGCATGTGGTAGGCTCTCTGAGCTCCAGGTCTCTATCACAGCTATATTTCCTTAAACTCTAACAAATGCAGTAAGGTTTTTTTTTTTAAAGAATTATAAATTTTTTTAAAGCAATCATTTTATTACTTTCCAGACTATGAGTTATCTACCTGGAAAACACGATAAACTCCACAAGAAATAATATTGACAAATCAGACAGAGCTGTGGAAAATTATATTGACAACATTACTGAAGAAAATGAAAGACTATTTAAACAAATAGATCAATGGATTATTTCCCGAGACAGAGACCCTCAATAAAGCCCAAGTGCTTCTTAGCTCTCCATTATACAGTGCAGTTCAGATGGTGTCAATCACACCCAAAGGAAACTTTGTACTGACAAATTTATTGTCAAATTTACCTGAAACTATTCATGAAAATAGCTAGAAAGGTTTTTTTTTTTAAGAACCATAATGAAGGGGACCTAATGTTACAGATATAATTCACCTTACATTTTTCAGTTGCCATAAAAAAGAGGTCAAAACTTTTCCACGAAGGGCCACATAGTACATATTGTAGGCTGTGCGGCTTGTTGTCACTAAGCCTTCTCAAGGTCCTCCCCTGCTCCAGGCACACTCATCCCATCACCCTCAACACTTTCCTCCACAGCTCGGAAGCCCTCTTTTGTGAGGTCTTTAGTTGTGCTCTTGTGGCTGCCTCAAGGTCTTGAATCAGCTCAAAACCTGAACCTTTATGGTCACTTGGACTTTGGAGAAAGAGCAGAAAGTCACACCGCGCCCGATCGGGGGAATACGGTAAACCAAGACATCGCGATGATTTTCTGAGCCCACCTTTGCGTGGAGGGTCCTCGGCAGCAGCAGTCAGCTTATTTTTGGTCACACATGGTGAGGACATGCGTGAAAGGACTCCAGAGCTGCTTCACTTAGTGGCAAGAATGATGGGATCTCTATGTTCAAAGTGGGGAGAGGTCTTGTCCAGGGGCTCCACAGCGATGTTATAATAATTTTTTAAGTTTAAATATGCACCTTTTGGAAAATCACATCGTTCACTGCCATAATGGCTCAGCTCTGCCACTGGAGCCAGAAAGCAGCCAAGGGCATAGAGACAAAGATGCGGAGGCCAGCTGACCACTCTGAGCCTTGGGCTGCCCTGCCACAGGCAGCTGCTCATGTCCACCTTGCTCTTCGTTCAGGAAGGAGAAGCAGCCTCATGCCCTTAAGTAGGAAAATTGGTGAGACAAAGCACTCAGGCTGCAGGGCCAGCGTCCCCAACCTCACACAGCCTCTCCCCCACGCTGTGTGCCTCTGTGCCCCCCGGCACCCCTTGCACCCCGGAGAAAGCCAGCCTCCTCCCAGAGCCCCTCGGCCTCCAGATGTCTGGACCACCCGCCTTGTCCCGGAAGTCCGAGAGAACACCAGTTGAGAAGGTGTGACAAAAGTGCTAGGAAGGCCACTGCAAGGGAAAGAGAGGCTGCTAGTTGTGCCGCTGTGACCTCAACTACCTTGGTCACCAGGGATGCGGCACCGTGCAACTTCTGACTCTTCCCCAAAGTCAAAGTGACCATGCAAACTCAGCATTTGGCATCAGTTCGGGACACTGAAGCAGCCTCAAAGGAACAATGAAGACATTCGTGAGAGGACTTCCGGAACTGCCTCAGAAAGCAGAAAGAATGACGGGATGAGGGTGCTCAAAGAAGAGGGAGCTTTTCAGGGGACTCATGGCAATGCGTTTTTAAATTTTATTTATTTTTTATTTCTCGTATCAGGAATAATGCACCTTTTATTGTAATTTTTTTAATGTAAACATTCACCACGTTTCAATCACCTCTTGTCGCAGCCTTTATTTGGCAGTTCGCTGGGCCCTGCTTTGAGAGACTCATTTTACCGTGACGTGATTTCACTCTGATGTGTGTTTAGATCTCGCCCCTGCAGTTGAATCGCCAGTCGCAAGCTGTGTCTTGCAGGCCCAGGACAGGCAGCCAAACATGCTTCGTGTTGATTTAGAAAGGTAGCAATTAAGGGATTAAGAATGTTAGTGGAATGTTAAATTGTCCAGGACAAGCCTTAAAAAGTGAAGTTACTTTCTAGTTAAACGAAAAAGAAAACTGCCATTATCTGGTTAATGTATCGCACAAAAGCCAAGGGGACCACAAGGTGACTTCACTCTAAAAGACAGATGATTGAAGAGAGAAAAGCGATCCGCACAAATCACCTGCGCCCCATGCTGTGTCTGCGGCTTTAGAAGCGACTGCCCCTCTGCAAGCTCGCTGGCCTGTCCTGGAGCGGCCAGAGGTACCTCCATTCCCGAGATACCTTTCTCGGGTGACAGGAGGTGTGGACACACTTGGAGCACCGCAGGCACACTGCTGTCCCTCACAACGTCTCAGCAGTTATTGATCACGATCAATTAGAAGCAGTGGCAGAACCAGCTGGCTGCCTAGTGGCAGGAAGAGAAGACAGGACCAAGTGCAGTCTTACAGTGCTGTGGTGTGCACAGCTGAAGTGATGTTGTGATAACGCAGAAAGAAGACAGAGGCTTAGGGGCTGGGGATTTAGCTCAGCAGCATAAGCACCTGCCTTGCAAGCAGGCAGTCGTGAGTTCAATCCCCGGTACCGATAAAAATGAAAAAGACAAAAAAAAAAAAAAAAAAAAAAAGAACACAGAGGCTTTTTAATGGAATAAGCATTGCATTGACGCCAAACCCAAAAAAGATGGAATACAACCAATAAAACATCCATCTGTCTCCCTTACAAGGATGCATGCAAAAACTTAACTCATTGCCCATTTTTAAAATGCTGCTTGTTCATTTAATTTTCAGTGATCAAGAATTTCTACATTTTGTAAGTGGAAAGGCCACTGATAAAAAGTGTGATGCCTTTTATTTCCAAAGACTAGCAATCCATGAGAGCCACAAGAAAATAATAAAAACAAGATATTCTATGGTGAACTTTGGGAGGAGGCTTAGGACTAATTGGTCCATTGTTGAGATAACTGCAGCCACGAGCAGTGGGCGATTATTCCTAGGGTAAACGGGAAACGGTACGCTCAGTATTTAAACACCACAGTCAACAGTGAGTATTCTGAAATGCAGGAACATTGGAGTTAGGATGGGTAGGAAGGCTCTGGGTCACAGAAGGTGATCAAAAGGAAAAAAACTAAAATTCATCACTGCAGATGTTTAAAAGGCATTCGACAAACTCACCATCCATTCCTGATATTGAAAATCAAGTCCAATAAAATTGAAATACACAGATATTTCTTAGCATAACAAAATGATTCCAATCTTATTTCAAAATGCAATGTCATGCTTAATTAAATTCCCTACAAACATTTCCACTAATGGCAGAGAAAATACAGAAAAGGCCACTGTCACTGCTATTATTAAACATTATCCCACAAAAAAAAATTTTAAACACTGCTGGACAAAAGAAAGACCCAGAGAAAATGGGATGGAGGAGGCAGATGATCATTTTTTGCAGTTGTATTCTATGTACACAGAAGCAAAGAGAATAAACTGAAGAACTACCCAGTGCGAGATGAGGAGATGCAAAATTACTATGCAGACAGCTGTGAGGCTTGTATATGCAAACAGCAGCTGGACAAAAATACAATAAAAATCCATTTACAACAACAGCAAAACACACAACTCCCAGGAATAAGCAATAGTAAATTTGTATTCTGTGTGCAGACAATCTGAGGGATTTGGACAGTGAGGCACAAAAGCAAACATGGTCTTAGGTTGGAATACATAAATGTCGTAGGATCCAAATAAAAGCCCCAACAACATTATGCTGGACCCCTGAAGGAGGACAGACAGGTCTGCCCTGAACTTCAGGTCGGAGGCAGAGAACCGAGGATAACCATGAAATCCTGGAGACAGATGAGTAGGGGGCCAACTAGCCAGCACAGTCGTGTGTGCAAATGTGTTATCTATTAAAAGCCTATTGATTCAGACAAACGACTGCATCAGTGAAAAACAATGGAAAATCAATAAATATACTCAAATACATATGGACATTCGGACTCTAGTACATGAGTGAGAATAAAAGGAAATAAATGCTACTAAAGTAGCCCAGTTGTCACTTGGAAAATACTTAAATTCTTATGTCTTTATGCCTTCCTACAGAATGATCTCAGATAGACCAGAGGTTTAAATGTAACACAAAATCCAAACAGCAAAGGGCTAGAAGATGCCGAGAAGGAACCCATCATAGCCTCAGAATGAGAAAAAACTTCTTAACCATGTGACAAACCCAGGAGTTATAGGATAAAACAGTAGATAAATGCAATTCCACAAATGTTTTCTTAACCTGCAAGGAAAAATGTCCCTAAGTAGAGTAAGTGACACATGACCCACCAGCAGAATCACTTTCAATGAGTATCCCATGAGATCACTTTTCTGATACATAAAGAATTCCTACAACTGTACAAGAGATGACTCAATACCTGATGCCAAAAAATGGCAAAAGAATATAACAGACTCTTCTCAGAAAAGATCCAAATGTGTTTGAAGCATAACGAATGAGATCCAATATGTGAAAAGATAATCACCCACACATGTAAGAGAGACGCACATTAAAATCACATAACAGACAAAACTGAAAATTAAATGTCACCAAAGTTCAAAACTTTT